AATTTGAAGTTTTGAATGCCACCTTTTGCGAAATGTTTGATGTTCAGCACCACCTCTAAGCGTCAATTCGTATGTTGGATTTGTTTTCCTATTTGTTTGTTAAGATCGATTTAAATGGACTTTATGTATGTTCATGAGTATTATAATGTTTTATTGAAATGATGATATTGTTGAGGATATGTGTTCTAATGATTGTTAAAGGAATTTGAAGGTAATTATAGTTATTTTGTTTAGAAATTATTTTTTTTTGAAAAAAGTCATGTAGTTTATATTTTATTATTATGGTTATTATCTTATATAATTATATTAATAATATATATGTTTTTTGTTATCTATTTTAGTTTAACAATTTTATAATATTTCATTTAATAGTTTTATATTATTAAATTAAATATTACATTAATAACATTTTTAATGTTAAAAAATAATATAAATAAGTTTATACTCAGTCTAAAATAGCGATGTCTAATTTTTATGTAAAGTTATTTGTTGTAAAATAATCATGGTTTTTTTTTTTTCCTTCAAAGCGGTATATCTGTCTATAAGATTAAGAGAATGAAACTTCATGCTCCTATTAAGATAGATGTATCTCTTTATATTCATATCCATATATATGCATATTTTATAGATATATGTATATAAATAGAACACTAAAAGGGGAAGAGATAAACTGAGAAACAGCTGTCTTGAGTTCTCATATGATTGAACTTCCCTCCACATAAAGAAAGTGGATATTTTCATTTTCATTTACTAGCTAGGTTCATTCTTGACTTGTCATAGGTGATAGTGATGCAATAACTTAAGAGGTGAGGACATAGGGGTAATTCAATCAGAGGGATATCAGATATTCAAGTCAGTGACTCATATGCAATGAATTATTTTCAAGATATTCTTCATACCAACTATCATGAGATGATGAAATCATGGTACTATCACAAATAAACATGTGAGAGATTATGAACCCTTTCTAGAGAGAAAAAAAAAAGAGTTTTGTTTATTAAAAAGTAAATTATCCTTATATTTTTCCTATTGCAACCTTAACTTTTCTTGATCGGATGAAACACTTCTGATCATTAATATTCTCTTTAACGTACGAAAAACGTTGTCCAAAATTACATGAATGTTTATATATTATTTCATTTTGTGGGTGTGTGATTGAGAGAAAGATAAAGAAAGAGTGGAAGAAACATATTAAGACACATGAATCACGATGAGATAACTGTGCATTGGGTGGCTAAAGAAATTGAAAAGATTTACCGACCATAGACATTTAAAAATGAAGATGTGGGTAAAAAAATAGAGAAATGGTAGTACATGATCATGTCATGTGCATGAGAAATATAGAAAGGATCTTGTTCATTAATCAGAACACAAACCGTAACTTTTGTCTTTAGTATAAAGGACACAAAGGTAGTGCCTCTATTAGCTGTAAGCTGTTTCCTAATATTTAAAGCTTCACTTACGTGTATCAACCATCCAGAACAATCCAGATTAATGGTCATATGTAAGTAAACAACCACATCTTTCCACATTTCACCAAAATGCCACAAAATATCTTATCAAATCCCAAAAATCTATTTTTAATTCCTACAAAACACACCTCAAACAAATTTATCATAAGCCATAAACATAGTAAAAAAATCATCATTAAACTTAAATCTTGCTTTCACTTTTACTTTTATTTCCATTTTGGTTTATTTTTCTTCATAATTTTAGTTCCTAGATTATATTTTTTTTTTTAAATTTAGCCTAATATTATATTTCTTAATCGAATTGTACATCTAACATATTAATAATATAATAATGATTTAATTAATAATTTAATTTCTATATTTATTTGATTTGTTTTGATCTATTTTGTTTTTTTTTACTTAATTTAGTTTTTATTTTTGTAAAATATTCAATGTGATCTTATATTAAATTTATGTTAAACAATATTTGAAAGTGTTAAAAATTAAAATTTAGTTCTATCGTATATCAAAATCTAAATTATATTTTATCTTGGAATCTCTTTAATTTTGATACTGACATTTTAGAAATAGAAAATAATCAAATTTTAACACTGATAAATCCTAATTTTAACACGTAACACTTTTAAATGATTTTAATGAAATGAGTTACATTGATTTTTTTTTACAAAAATAAAAAAATGAGTTTTTTGAAAAAAAATTAAAACTCATCAAATAAAAAAAATCAAAATCAAAATAAATTAAATGTATAAATAAAAACTAAATTAGTAATTACATCTAATTTAATCGATAAAAATATCAAATAAATATGTTGAGTTATTCAAGCAAACATATACTAGAGTCAATATTTACTTTTAAGGTATAGATTTTTAACATTATCTTTAATTGAAACCTTAATATAATAAATTTGTGAATTTTTGTTCGTCTATATTCACTTCATTCATCTTTATTTAATGTTAAACTCATGACTCAGCTCTAAATTTATCATAAAACATACTTGAAATTAAGAATGAAAGCAGATTATAGATGTTGAAAATTCTCAAAAAATTACAGATCAAAGTTAAAAAAAAAATTGCTTTCAATGAACTACTCTTGGATATCCATGAGCCCAAATTAATTAGGTGTTGATGTTAATATTGAGCTGTATGCAAATAAAAAATGTGTTTGTCCTAATATCGGAAGAATATAATTAGGTAAAAAAGAGTCCAACACAAAAGGGTGAATGCCCTTTTGGTTAATAGATTATTGTAAATAAAAAGATAATTATGGCTAAGATGGTAAAATAAAATGGTTTTGGCATAGAAGATAGTTGCATGAATAATGAAGAATATTGAAGTGGTGTTTTTATGTGTTGAGTGTAATATCGACCATGTGTTATGGCGGTGCCACCAAAGCTATGGTAGAAAAAAAATTGTGGTTCATATAATTAATTACCATCTTTTTCACCCTTTATTGCGTGTACATGCTTCATATCAGCTAAACAAAAGCTGAAAAGATCAAAAGAACCAAAGAACCCTTTTATTATGCACCTCATATAATATCATGCAAATTATACATAATTCGTCCTCAAGAAACTCAAGGATTTCTTTTATCACTTTTTCACATACATGTTTTCATCTATTATAAAAAATATGTGTTAGTTAATTTGTTCTGTTTTTTATTTTAGCTTTCGTAATTTATATAATCTGTAACTTTTATTTAATCATCAATTTTATATATGTTTATTTTTATTTTTTATAATTTTTTCATACATGAAATCAATATATAATATTTTCTTTTATTAAAATAAAAGAAATAAAATGTAAACACAAACTTCGGAATTAGATCAACAAGTCTTTAACTTTTTTTAAAATTGTTAAATATTATAAATTTTCTTTTGTTATATAATATCCTTCGCTTGATATCATTATTAAAAACCCGACAGAGTAGAATAAACAATATTGTTTAACTTTTAAAACAATAAATTATTTAAAATAAAATTAAAAAAACTCACATAAGAATTATTTATCTAGAGAGAAATATATACTACACTTCCATATTCATTCCGTGTCCTATCCCTGTCCGTTTAATATTATTTTATTACCTAAAGGTTATAGGAAAAAATAGTAAATAATACTTTAATAATATCAACGTTGATTTCTTTATATTCACACGTGTTTATATGAATGTGTGTATATATATATATATATATATATATATATATATATATTATTAAATTGGTGTGTACATACTGAATGAAGAAAATATAAAGACCAGAGAGTGTACACAGGTATGTACATATTGAAGTAGAAGAAAAGTACAATAATCAATAAATTTGCCAAAATTAAAACAAAAAAAACGAAAATAGGTATTTCAATTTTTATTTTAAAAATATTTTGTGATACTTATTAGTTTTTTGTTTTTCTTGCAACATGGTCCTTTCAAAATTAATAATTAATTAAAAATCAATTAACAAAGTTTTAAAATCTTTTATTTAAAATTTAAAATATTTAATAAATATTTTATGTTAATCTTTAAATTGAATATTTTAATATATTTAAAGATAATATTTTGTAATATAATAACTTATTATTATATTTTCAAAATCTATTTAATATTTTAAGATTTAATACTTTATTATCTTCAAATAATCCAATTTTTTTATTCATGATATAAAAAATTTATAAATATAATATTTCAACCATTCTAATATAAATATTTACATTCTTATTGATTTAAGCATAAAAAAAGTCTTTAATAGATGTATTTCCTCTCTGATTAACTGGAAGTTCGGTTCAGAATATTTGAAAACAATGACCTGACATTCATGAACAAAGACCTCTTAGTAGGTTCTGGTTAAAAATAGGTATAGTAGATTATTATTCGAGAGATTAATTAAAAAAACATTACATGCTCTTCCTAATAAAAATAATTAAAGTTTTCGAAAGTGATATTTAAAAAATATATATTTTGCATATAAAACAGCATTTTTCACCAGGAATCGTACTGATGTGTGATGAACATCAGTGGCGGTAAAGAAAAGAAAAAAAAATTAAACAGGGTGACGAAAGAATCACTTTTGAAGCATTCATTATTATATATATACGAGTATAACAAATTTTAAATAATATTAAAAGTGATTTGATATTGCAAGTTGAATTCCATCTTAATCAAACGAAGTAATATATTAAATATTTTAAAATAAGAAAACATGACTTCATTAATTAGTTACAGTACATGTATAATTTAGTTTAATTTAAAAATGATAAGCTAAGAAAATATTTAAAGAAATACGATTTAGAAAGTAATAATTAATTTTGTATATTTGCGAGTAATTATATTAATTTCATCACTGTTTTAAACTACAAAATTTATAATTAACTATTATTATTGAACTTTATTTTGTAAAGTTCACTCGTTTGAGATAAGCCAAATCTCAATTTCTTACATTTGACTTAAATTTAGAAATAGACATACAATTTAGATAGGTTTCTCCATAAATAATAAATAATGAATAAATATAACAGCCATAGGCAATGATCCCTTGCACTTGGCTTCTATAAATACTGACCTTTGCCTTTGCTTTTTCCTCCCCCTCCTCCTTGCATCCTTCATTACCATAATACTGCAATATTGCTATCTAGAACTTTCCTTCTTCCTAACCCACACCCTATTCATTCTTCTCTTTCTGGTAAGCAACTCCTTCAGTAGTTCTTATGCATGTTTTCTTAGAACACTAAACTTTTCTGTTTCACTCTTCACTCATTGCCCATATTCCTTCAAAACCATGGCTTCTTAATCGTTATATCAAAGACCCTTTATTACCATGAGTGCATGCCTGAGGTTTAACCTTTTGAATTCTCGAATTTCGTTGTCATATGAACAAATGTTCGGAATTCAGAACCGTACCTCTGTTTTTCTGAACGCACCAATTTATTTGGTGATGTCAATATGTGGACACGTCTTGACTTTCTTTTTCGCCCTTTATTCCCAGGCTTACAAAAAATACGTTGTTGCTGAGTGTTGAATCCAGAAAGTTTGATGAATGAGTGATTGTGTGACTCCAAAAGTTTAAGCACTTTGGAAAGAAATTTTCTGTGTCTGAAACTCTGTTCAAACGATTATAATAATGGGTCTTTGGCTTTGAGCTGTTCATGATTGACCTCTTTTCTTGAGGGTCCTCTTTCTTTTTCATAGTTTATGGTTATAATAATTGAAGGAAGCTTATGAACCCTCTCGTGTCTCTTTAAATTCTGTGCCCCCAAATGGGTACTGTTGCAACATTTATTTTTAAATTAACCAATTTCCTTAGTTGTGGATTGTCCACTCAGAATCTTAGCAAAGCTTTATCTCCAATGGATTGGATCAACACTATGATTGTCTTCCTTTATGCTGCTTTTGCTTATATCGGTGCTAATCCGAGTAAACAAGAGCATTTTTTTTTTAAATAAGAGAACCCATCAACATTTGTAGGCTGAGAATCACAGCGAATCCCTATATAAATTTTGGTTGGTTCATGTTTTCATGCAACACAGTGTTCACTTCCTTTTGTTGTCTCTTTAAGGTTTTCTGCCTGAAATGGAGTACGAGGACCGCTTCAGACAGAACCAGAGACCAAAATATGATTGCCTTCTTTTTGGTGAGTTTACTCGTGAGACAGTTCATTGATTAACTGCAAATTCTGAAACCTCATTTGGGTTTGATTTAGATTATAACTCTTGTTATGTGCTGCAGATTTAGATGATACCTTGTATCCACTAAGCACTGGTATTGCAAAAGCGTGTGGCCAAAATATTAAAGGTGAGAGTCTCTTTGCGAATAGTGTTCTCGGTAATGTGTTTACTCTTTATGGATGTTGTTGAAAAGAGTGGTACCATTGATCTAGATTATATGGTGGAAAAGCTTGGCATAGAGAAAAGCAAAATCGATGACTTGTCCAACCTCCTCTACAAGAACTATGGAACAACTATGGCTGGTTTAAGGGTATGATTAAGTTTCTTTTACTTGCTCATAATTGGAAGTGACTGTTGAATTCAGAAGTCTTTGATAACTTATGCTTGTTTTGTTTCATTGTCAATGCAGGCAATTGGATATGACTTTGACTATGATGAATATCACAGGTACATGACCTTTTTTTCTGATTGTTTTTACCCCATTTGATTTCTGTACGTGTTTTGTAGTGGTGATACTGATTTTTGAACTCTGGCTGTTACAGTTTTGTTCATGGAAGATTGCCTTATGAGAACTTGAAACCAGACCCAGTTCTGAGGAACCTTTTGCTGAGCCTGCCCTATAGGAAACTAGTAAGTTCCTTAAATTTAACCCAAATAAAAATTGCTCAAGATTCTACTTAGAAAAAAATGAAAATAATCTGATGAGAACTCTTTTTGTCTTTTCTTTTCAGATCTTCACAAACTCAGACAAAGTCCATGCAGTTAAAGCACTCAGCAGGCTTGGATTAGAGGACTGCTTTGAAGGAATCATTTGTTTTGAGACGCTTAATCGCATCCATAAAAACACTGTCTCCGATGATGAAGATGACATTGAGTTTGTGGGGGGTTCAAACACAACCAATCCAACCACAAAAAAAGATGCTAGAACCTCACAAATCTTTGACATCATTACCCACTTTTCTCAATCCAATCCCAACACAGTTTTGCCTAAGACACCAATTATTTGCAAACCATCAGAACATGCCATTGAATTGGCTCTCAAGATAGCCAACCTTAACCCCCAAAGAACTGTAAGAAAAAACCATCCTATTTCACTTTGGATTCTCAGTTTTGCTGACTCTATTTTCTGACATTTTGGTTTTTCCTATATGTCACTTTCAGTTGTTCTTTGAGGACAGTACCCGTAACATACAAGCTGGAAAACGTGTGGGTCTTCACACTGTGCTGGTAAGTCATTGGCAATTTTGTTCAGTAGTAGGAACACTGCCAAACTAATAATGAAGAGGAATCCAACAATTTTATGCAGGAAGCATCACACATCTTATGATGCTAGTGGTCCAAAACATAAAAGAAAGAATATTTCTGTGGGAAACTGATATCAGCCTCTAATTGTTGATTACAACTTGCAGGTTGGAAAATCTCAGAGAATTAAAGGAGCAGATTATGCATTAGAGAGCATCCACAACCTTAGAGAGGCTGTGCCAGAACTATGGGAAGATGACATAAAATCAGAAGTTGCTTACCCAGGAAACCTTGCTGTGGAGACATCTGTGACTGCTTAGTAATCACAAACCAAAAAAAAGAAAAACAGAGAAGCCCTTTGTGAATTTCCCAAGTTCGAACCTAGGAACTGTAGCTGATGTAGATGCTTTGATCATATTATAATAAATTAATATTTGCACTTCACGTAGATGCTTTCATAACATAATAATATAATTGATATGAAATATTAAATTCCCCCTTTGGGCCTCGCGTACATTTTATAAATATAAAATCAGGAATCATTATTTTTTTCCCTCGTCTCCATCAAGTGAGGAAGATTCCTTTTACATTAAAGTGTAAGGGAAAAAAATGTAAAGTGAATAGAAACTCAATTGTCATCTAGTAATTAAGTATAAAACAACATATATAACTCGAAGAAAAGAAAAATAGTGGAATGTTCAAGAGCTTTGTCAGCAATACATGGAAGGAAACAAAATGAAAAAGGAAAAAAATATATATAGAAATGGTTTGCTGTGATGTAATCTTAACATAAACTTCCTTTAAAAGCGAAGGGTTATTTTATTTTCAAGAATGATGATTCAAGTTATTTCATACAAATTTATCATATGAATATTCATTGGCAACATACTAATCTTAGAATATTTTGACACTCTTGAAAAAAATTACACCCACTTTAATGATATAATAATATATATTAAGATTTAAAATTAAAAAAATAAAACTAACATAGTTAAAATATTATTATTTAGGATTGTGAAATGAATGGTTTTAATTTGATGGTTGTAAAAATAATACCATCCTACAACAAGACATCGTGAATTAACTTATGAGATGCTTCATAACTTAGAAAAACTATCCATTGAAATAAAACTTGTTTCAGTTATTTGTCATAAGTTTTTGAAGATCACTTGGATTGACATCACCCAGAATTAATTAACAGCTAATCATTAACATGAATTGTCTGACAGTTAGTTAAATATCTATCAATTATTCGTAGCAATCATAATTAGAAGACAATTAAATTGTCAACATATTTGACATTCTTGGCACGCTATTAATATAAAAACAAATGCCTAAGTTAAGTAGGTTAGAGTTTTAAATGCATAACGTAGTTCAATAAAAGAGATGGTTCATACGCAAGTTGCATACAACATTATCAAATCATCATACATTATTTTTTATAATTAGTTCAGCTGATTGCTTCCTGTCTACTATATATAGTGTAACCAATCTCAACTTTTGAATAAAATTAAAAAAAATGTTTATTAAGAGGTGCTTAAGTGCCAAATTGATATATATAGATAGATATAGATTATTTAAGTTAAAAGGTAGTGACATTTTGAAGTTTCAGAATTTTTGTTTCCACTATGATGATGAAACAACAAAAATTACAAATATATTATATTATAGTATTTACATCTTAGGTTTGATTGAAATAAAAGAGAAAAGAAGTTCATCTTATATACTTATTTATTTATTTATTTATATATATATATATATATATATATATATATATATATATATAGCTATATTGAACGTTGAAATATTTAGAATAATTGTCAAACCAAACATAATGAGTAGTTATGAATTATTATTGTTATCATGGACATAAAATCACATATCATAAATCGCTTTTGTTTTCATCCACCAACCTTCGTACCCCTTGTTTGGGTACAGATAGAGTAATGGCAGAGTTCTAAACTTCAAAATGGTTAAGTCATCCTAGTAATATTCAATTTTTCAAATTTTCAACTTTGATATAGTTTTTGTACGAAACATAAATTTATTATGTTTTTTTTATGGAACTCCACATAAATATTTTGATACATTCACCCTAATCCAAGTGTGTTATGGATGCTCAAGTTTAGACAATATGCATTACCATAATTTGTTGTGTCTTTTTAATCATACTAATTTGGTTTATTTTAAGAAGCTTTTCTCTCTCTCACACCCACACACTTATTCACTCTTAACTCTTGGACTACATCTAGTTCTCCTTCAAGTGTACTACTTAAGAGCTCTCTCTCTCTCTCTCACTCATTCACCCGTAACTTTTGGGTTACATTCAGTTCTCTATCAAACATATTACTTAAGAGGTTTAATCAATCAACACACTTCATTACAACAATCACAAAGTAAAGAATATTACAATGGTTTAAGCACACAACCCATTTCTATCTTAAAAGTCTCTTTCTCTATAAATTTGACTCTATGTGCTCAAATTTTCACTTCTAATTTCCTTGATAAATCTTTTCACTTTAATGTATAGTATTGTTGTTCTCATTGTCTTCTTTTTTTATCATCTCGACATCATTTATATAGTTTTTGGAATGATAGCCGTTGAGGTATTTGAATTTCATTAACTTTGAATTTCATCCAACTATTTGCTCTGTCAAGTCTTAGGTTGATCACTATGTTCTACTTAAAGGCTACCTCCACCAAGATGGTCTATATAAGTTTCCCTTGCTTCCATCGCATCTTCAGCCTAAGCCTCAATAATTTCATATATAACATCTCCAAGTGTTAATCCACAACAAGATAACATGTATTACCCATAAACACAATTCGTTAGTAATTTGAGTTTATCAATAGATCATCGATGACCATTAATTTGTTAGTAAGTGTTACAGAGAGTAAGAATTGATTAGTCCAACCTCGACACGAGAAAGTTTAGGTATTCATAGAATATTGCAATGCAATCCCAACATCATCTAGAATAAGATTTATAATGAAAGCATCTCTCTCAAGCCTTACAAACTAATTCGTACTCTACTACTACAATTTGATCCTCCACGCAATGCCTAAAATGAGGACCCGAGGTTCGTATTTATAAACTATCCAAGGTGTGGCATCAACGATGATTTCGTGGCTACAATTGGAGAAGTTTCCTTCCAAGGTAGGCTTTCTCTATGGTTGAGGCCTCATGCTTTTGTGTTGTAGCTCTTGAGTAACTTCTATTTGAAGGATTCTTCGTGGCTCAACCTCAGATCCAATGCTTGAGGACTTCCCTTCAAGGTGAGTTTTTTCATGTGGCTCAAGACTTAAGTTTTAGTTGAAGCGACGCCAAAGTCAGTTTGTTAGAAATTGCTAAAAATTCCTCTATTTTCTTCATTTTTTCACTTTAACTCTCCATTGATATCAAGAACTACAAAACAAACTAAATAGGGATGAATCAAGCATAATCTAAACAAAATAAAAAACAAGATAAGTGCCAAATTTATCTTAAAATTCACCTAATTAGGCACTTATCACTAAACGAATTCAAAATGAAAAGGATTTAAAAATTAAAATTTTAAGAAGTGATCATAGAGGTTAATTTCAAAATGAATCTTTTGAAAATTTTGTGAAAAACATGTCATTACTCATAACTTTTTTGCACCTAGAACTCCTAAAAAATGGAGTTGTAGAAAGGAAAAATAGGTCATTAGAAGAACTTGCTAGAACTTTGTTAAATGAATCTAATGTTCCTAAATATTTTGGGCTGATGCTTCAGTACTACTTGATATGCTTTAAATAGGATGCTTATTAGGCCAATTTTGAAAATTGCTCCTTATGAAATTTTTTAAGAAAAAAAGCCAAATGTTTATCATTTAAAAATATTTGGATGTAAATGTTTTGTTCTACACAATGGAAAAGAGAATTTGGGAAATTTTTATTCCAAAGTCGATGACGCTATATTTTTGGGATATTATCTTACAAGTGAAGCTTATACAGTTTTCAATCGAAGAACTTTAAATATTGAAGAATATGTAAATGTTGCTTTTGATGAAATTGTGAATTTTGAGGAAAATCCTCTTGAGTTAAATAAGTCAAATGCAGGTCATGAAGAATATATAAAGGAGGCACATGATGAGATGTATCTTAATGATAATCCTCTTTTTCAACCTAAAGATCTCGCTAAAAGTTGACAATCACCAAGAGGATTATCATTTGACAACATAATAAGAGACATCTCAAAGGGTGTCACTACTAGGAAAAATTTAACTAATTGTTGTATGATTGTAGATTTTGTTTCGCAGATAGAGCTGAAAAACATAAAAGAAGTTCTTTAATATGACAAGTGATGCATAACAATGCAAGAAGAGTTGAACCAATTTGAAATGAATGAAGTTTGGGAACTAATTTCTAGATAAGAAACACTTCAAGTCATTGAAACAAAGTGGGTGTTTAGAAACAAGCTAGATGAAGATGGAAATATAACCAAGAATAAATTTGGACTTATTGCAAAAGGATATAGCTAATAAAAAGGTATAAAATATGATGAAACATATAATCATGTTGCGAGGTTAGAGGGTATATTCCTACTTCTTACTTATGCTTTAATTATGAATTTTAAATTATATCAAATGGATGTTAAGAGTGTTTTTCTAAATGGATTTATTAAGGAAGATGTGTATTGTAAGAAAATCCTAAAGAAATTTGGAATGAATATAGTAAAGGAGGCAACTAGTTCTATGACAACCTCTTGCTACTTTGATAAAGATGAATCGAGTACGAAAATAAACCAAACAATGTGTAGGGGCATAATAGGATCACTATTATATCTTACTGCTAGTAGACCTGATATAATGCAAAGTGTGTGTGTGTGTATGAGCTAGATATCAGTTTGGTTCTAAGGAATCACAACTTGTAGCAGTTAAGAGAATTCTTAAATATCTAAAGGGAATTGTCTCTTTTGGATTATGATATCCTTCAAATGTCTCTCCTGGTTTAATAAGTTATTCTAATGCTAATTATGAGAGATGTAAAATTGATAGAAGCAGGCATGTGTGACTTTGTCAACCACAGAGGTTGAAATATTGTTGTAGGAAATTGTTGTGCACAAATTTTATGAATGAATTAAGAAATAAAAGATTTTAATATCTTTCTTAATCATATTCCACTAAAATGTGACAATACTAGTGTTATCAATCTCACTAAAAATCGAATAATGAGTTCTAGAACTAGGCATCTTGAGATTAGGTATCACTTCCTAAGAAATCACATCCAAAAAAGAGGTTGCATAATTAACTACACACTAAGAATCAAGTAGTTGACATCTTTACTAAATCCTTAGCTAAAGACAAATTTTATGAGCTTATAAGGGATTTAGGAATATTAGAAATATCTTAAATATTAAAAGAATTATTAAATTTAAAAAAAATCTAAATTTTTGCTGAGATAATCAATTATCAGCATAACAAATTG